CATCTCCTAGTTTCAAGGTAAATGACACTGGTTATTTCTACTGACTAACAATATGACATCTCCTAGTTTCAAGGTAAATGACACTGGTTATTTCTACTGACTAACAATATGACATCTCCTAGTTTCAAGGTAAATGACACTGGTTATTTCTACTGACTAACAATACGACATCTCCTAGTTTCAAGATAAATGACACATAAATAATGTGCTTGATTGTGCTAAATTTGTGAGACCATTTCTTTAGAACAGAAAAGTTGCATTTATTTAAGACTGTAAATAAGGTTTCTTAGTAGTAAATATGCAAAAATATATTTGAAGTATGGTTTACATTAAAAAAAAAGAAACTGTATAAATGTACTAATAAAACACAATATCGTTCTTGCAAGTAGCCACAAGGTGAAGTCAAGATACTCTCCAACAAGTTACATTATCAACAGTGTTATTATACAATAATAGCAGATGGGTGCTTTGTTTTCCTAAATTCAGTAACTGAGTAATCTTTTAACGAAAGTTTTGGATCTTTACGTGTTTCTTTTTAACTTACACTCGCTAATGTGTCACATTTTCCTGGCATCTATAGAAGCCTTTAATTTTCTGTTTAACCTAGCAAGGGTTATTTGTAGCAAACAATATACATTTTCGTTTGTTTTACTCGTGTCTCTAGCTTTAAATCCCTCCGATTAATGGAAAATAAATTAAAATGGACGTGATTTAAAGAAAACAAAAACAAATTCGCATTTATACGATGTTCCTACTGTCTTAAAGTTTTCAAATTTTCGAGAATGAGGCCTCAAACAAGAATGCCGGGGCTCCGATTGAATTTTTCAAAATACATGCAAAGGTCAAAGTGCGAAGTTGTACTTTGATCTTCAACTTTATCAAAATAAAACTTGTATATCTTGTAGCATTTGAACTAATGACGTGCACAGCGGGGTGGCTGGGTGGGTTCAAGACCATGCTCTTATGCCCCCGAAAGTTCCCTTTTTCTCAATCATAAAAACAAAAATCAACAACTACTGAATCATACTCCCGATTTCACACTTTTCTTGTTGCTAGTTATTAGGTAGAAAAAATATTTCAGCTTTAAAATTAATGGAACACGGGGACTTGTAGGTCTTTACAGAAAAAAAACTGATATGCTTAATATGCAACAAATCACTCTTTAGTTTTATATTTTAAAAGTGTTTACAAGATGATATGCTTAATATGCAACAAATCACTCTTTAGTTTTATATTTTAAAAGTGTTTACAAGATGATATGCTTAATATGCAACAAATCACTCTTTAGTTTTATATTTTAAAAGTGTTTACAAGATGATATGCTTAATATGCAACAAATCACTCTTTAGTTTTATATTTTAAAAGTGTTTACAAGACCAACTGAATGGGAATTAAAAGGGATTGATTGTTTTTTTCTTCACCCTATTGTATCAGAGGCAATCAATAGTCTCCACTAACATTTCACCTCCCACCCACCCCTAAAAAAAAAGGCCTCACGGCGCTTAAAAAGTGCCACTTTTTATTAACGAACCCCTTACTCTTTTAATTTTCTCTGTATGTTGCTGGTCTGAACTACATGAAAATGCGTATTCTGTATTATGGGCACAGTGATTCTGGAAAATTGGACGCGATACAGCTTATTGCAAAAAATGTCGCAGAATGTGTTCAGTGCGTTTTCCGTTATTCTTCGTGGCATGGTGGTTAGGGGGAGCTTGACTCGCAATCTGCGGGTCGCGGATTCGATTCCCCGCTACCGAACATGTTCGCCCTTTCAGCCATTGGGGGCGTTACAAAGTGACCTTCAATTCCACTATTCGTTGGTAAAAGTGTATCCCAAGATATGGTGGTGGGTGGTGTTGACTAACAGCCTTCCTTCTAGTCTATCACTGCTAAACCAGAGACGGCTAGCGCAGATAGTTCTCAAGTAGCTTTGCGGTAATTTCAAAATAAACCAAACGAACCCGCTATTCTTAATCAGCATATCAAGCCTATTTGTAAGTAAAGTTCGTGTAAGTACTATCTGCTCTGAACAGCGTTAATTGAGCCTTGCAGTATCCTGCACAATGACACGCATTTTACTCGTGTCACTAATCTCGCAGTTTTAAGGGAGAGAGAAACAAAAACAGTGCTAACTTACGTAGGAAAATGACGAGAGTGCGCAGTATGATTTTGATTTTAAACCAATGTCCAGATTTTTCTGAATAAAACTTGTAATTCTCAATGTTACTTTGGTGAAATTTTGTAAATTCGGTGTTTTATTTATAAACACCTTGTACGTGTTTGTCGTTCTTGTCTGAAAATGAGTGTTTACTTCAGAGTTGATACCTTAACCCGGGAGTGATGCCACATAAAAAAAAAAACACAAAAAAAACGCACTCCTACATATCGCTTCAAACAACAAAGCCAATTACAAAAAAAATAATAATATTAAAATACCAACTGTTATGCCAAAAAGATAAAGCGTCTGAGTAAGAGAGGTATCTAAGAAATGGGATTCGCACAACTGTAACTAATAATTTAACCTCTTTCCACAAGCCCCATATATATAGGGGGGGGGGATTAAGGCAGTTATGAAAGTGTCCAAGTTAACCACTCCCCACATCCAGTAGTTAATTCAAGGTCTGTAGCCAGTAGTTGCTTCTAATGAAACATAAGAAAAAATAGTACTTTTTACTATAAGCAGTTTAAGTAAAATTTCTCTCTCAAAGTTAACATTCCAACACCCATAATGAACGTTTACTTATATGAACAATGTCGTAAGTCTATCGGTTTTCAAAACTACCAATTTAAGAACTTGAAGAATGGAATTTCCCTCTACATTACAAAACAGAATCGTGATAGAACATTATACAGTAAATGTAAATTTAATTATAGTTGGATTGATTTCCTTTGCCTTACTCTAGGAAGGACCGTTATTTATTTGAAGAGTTCATTACAAATAAAAAAAATAATGCATTTAAAACTCCATCTGTAATATATTTCTAGACATAAACATCAGTAAATAACGCATCATTTTATGTCCCGTCAACTCGATGAATTATTGTAATGAACTACGCCTGCGCACTTTTATCAACAAACTTCAGTTTATTAAAACTTCCATGTTCTAAAACGTGCCCGTCCCTAGAGCTTGGTGTCACGGTGTTTTTAATATGTCTACGACACATTCGTCTTTAGAAGGGCAGATTTGAAGGATTAATAAACGTCTGATATCGACATTAGTTGGCTCAATTTTTTTTTTTTTCAGAGTTGACGAAGATTACTTGCGTCCCTTTGAAATGGCTTTTCCTTTAGTGCTTAGCTAAACCAGAGCAAACAGATGCACGAAGAAATGTAAAGTAGAAACGCATATTTTCGTGTGTTTTTTTTTGTTGTTTTTTTTGAGCGATGTTTGCAGTTCGCTGTTTATTCTGATGAAATTGTTTTCATCAAAAAAAGTTAAGTTTTTCTTAATCTCTCTAATATTCTCAGGTTACGTTTTGAAAATGAAACAATCATGGGCGTCCACAAAATACCCTTAGGAATAGAACAGCGCGAGTGATTTTTATTTGCAACTTTAAAAAGCTTTTAATCCAATCTTATGCCGATTAACTTTTCACATATTTTGCACGAACTACTTTCAATGAGGCACAAAATTTGTTTAATTTGGGCAGAACGCTGCTCCTCATTCTGTGTGGTTCGATCACAATATGCATTTTCAATCAGTTAATAGTAAAATCATAATATAACCTTCAATTGCGCAGGCGACTGCGGTTGACATCATATGATGCAAGCATTTTGCGTGTAACATTTTGAATGGCCCGCCGCTAAAATTCGCAAATCTTTGCGCATGGGGTGGTAGGCAGATTTACACAAGTCGCAAACGAAGGATTAACAGCTGGGAATATTCTGTTTTTCATTGTTCATACTACCTATTATCAGGCACTTGTTTTCCTTACAAACAGCATGCATATTCTCTGACGATCATATTCTCCAACCCAGTAGAATCTCTTTAAGAACATCTGCAGACCTTTGAATTGTAAATATTAATAGTAAATACTCCGTCGGTACACGTGTAGCAGACAATAGATCTAAAAAGTTTTTTGTATGTTATTTGAAAGTATAAACGTTTTTATCAATATTTATAGATTGTACACACGAAGATATAAATCAACTTGAAGAACGACTATGTCAACAAGAAGATCTAAACTCCAAACTAAGTCAGCAGAATCGTTCCCTCCAAAAGGAGCTTGAAGAGTTACGATCATACAAAGATCAAGAGCACGTGCTGCTGTCTCGAACTCAGTGGCTGGAAAATGAACTGAAGCACACAAAAGAAGCTCTTGCTAGTGAGATTGAACTTTTGATATGTTTTAAGATAATATGCTAGGAATACATAGTTAGTTTTACCCAAACAAGTCTAGTTTTGGAAGAGTTGCCTTTGATTCAAAACTTATTTATATATCTCTCTTTAAAGTTTCTCGTGACATTCTTTTCCTTTAGATTCGGTATTTTAATGCAAGATTTTTTTTCAGTTGGCATCAAGACCTTTTGCGTTATTAAATTCCAAACTTTACGTTATCGACACAGAAAATTAATATCACTTCAACAGAATGACTTTTTTATACGCATGCAGTTGGCGTATCGCCATAATTGCAAGCTTTAGCCCCACGCAATATGTTTAACACTTGTATATATCTTCCGACCATTTGGTAGTGCAGTGCCGCCAGGGGTATACTTATGGCTGGAAAAATATACCAAAGTTCTTTCCGAGGAAGTATTTCCGTATAGCATATTTTCCAAGAAGCGGAACAACTCGCAGCTCACAGCGTTTCAGGGAAGACAACAGACTTCGAAAAACACTCCTCAAGCCATTATGGTAAAACACCTTAGTCTGAAAAATAAATACTATGGTTTAGAAAGAGAATATTTCGATCTTGGACATGCATTCTGGTATATATAATAAGGATAATAAACAAGGATTTGAAGTTAAATAAAGCCCACGAGCTTCCAGCCGAACCTCGAAACCATCGGCTGTTTTCATGAAAAAAATGACCAAAGAAACTGGTATCATAGCAAACCCATTCGACCGCTTATATGTCAAATACCTTGACGTAGTTCCCATGTGCTTTTGTATCCTTGGTCTGCTTCGATGCGGCTTTGGAAAATGTGAGATCTGAGACTGAACTCGTTATCCTTGGACTTTTGTAAAATGATGAAAAACAATTATAGATTGTTGTGTCCAGCAACAGTATGTAAATGTGGTCGTCAGGCTGAAGAGATGACCAACGATGGTGAAGGGCAATAGAGGACTTTGAACATCGTTCGTACAAAGTATAATTAATCCTTACAAGTTCATAGAACATATATTTTTTCGATGTCAGAGTCTTGCGTACTGTTAGTTTACTGACAATGTCCGAGTCATTGAACTTTAAAACAATCATCTCGTATAAGTGGAACTAAACGTGACACTAAAAGAACAAAAGCGGACTTCATTATTGCGTGTTTAGCGTTAATTTTCGATGTACAAGAACAACACTTAACTTTATCATGAGCAAGAGACAACTCTAATGGGTCAGATCTGACGTGGAAGATTGATCCAATCTTGAGGGAATCAGATTATAAAAATAGTCTGATGCTCGGCTCTGAACAGTACCGCTATTCTCTTGCATTGGATCCTATGTCTCCGACCACGCCAGTAATGGAGCAGCTGATTCTTATCTACAAAATTGATTAATAAATATGCGTTTGGTTAGGGAAAATGGTGAGAGGGTTTTAGCTTTTCCTGGTTTCTTGTTACGAGGAAAATCTGATTTACAGCAACGGTTTCTTTTTTAATGATAATAGGATACGGTTCTTCTGTTAGATCTTTGATTACAGAGTATACCTTTAGACTATAATTTCTGCCTGATCTTTTCATTACTTCCAACAATGTGTAGCCAAATTCGTATCTCCTTCGCGAGCTTGTCAAAATATCATAAACTTGGCAGGCAAGGCCTTCTACCTAAAAAAAAAAATGATATTAATGCCCTTGGGGCATGAAATATTTGTTTAATCACCATGAAAGATAGTTCTGATGTTTTAAAAGAGTTTCATGTTAGATATTTCTAACATCTTTAGAATAATAAACATTGGATTTATAGAATTTTAATTAATATATATATAAACTTATACCAGCCGCAATTGAAATAAAGACAACTTCACAGCATAGCACACAGTCATTGAGGAAAAGACATTTTGATGGCAGACTGAATCTTATTAGTTTGTGACCAGATAATCAGAAGTCTTCATAAATATTTCTAAAACAACTTGATTCATTTTATCATTAGTGTTTATACGTGATATGCGTCCTCATATCTTTGAAATTAAATTTAGTTTTACGTTTTAGCAAACGAAACTTTTCAAACATTTTCTAAAAAAAAAATCTGTGTTGTTAAATTCTTTGATTTGTTCTGATATGTATCTGTTCTGAAAAAAAAAAACAAGATGTTTTGATTAATATCAGCTTTAAAACAAGACCGAAAGAGACTGAGAGCAGAAAAGTTCGACCTGTTAAACCAAATGAAAGAACTCTACGGAACTCTAGAGGATAAAGAGAACGAACTGAGAGACTTCATCCGGAACTACGAGCAGAGAATGAAGGACAGCGACGAAAGTCTCAAACAGGCTAGTTTCAGACTAACTATGGAATTTCTCGTTTTAAAGTAAAGATCCAGTACTAACTAAACTTTGTGCAAAGTGGAAGGCAGTTATTAACAAACACGTAATAAGTGAAATAAATACATTTTTACTTCTCAGTGAGATTGAGTGTAACCATGTATTTAAGTGCTGGACTATGAATCTGAGAGTTCATAGTTCGCGTCCTGTTGTTATACGAGTGACAACCAAATCACATTATTTGATTAGAGTAGCACAATAGTTGGCGGAAAGTGCTGTTTATAAGCTGCTTTCCGTCTTGTCTATCGGTTCAAAATTAGGGACGGCTGAAACAAACGCTTCCCAAATAATAGAATTTTGTGCTGTATTATTCAAGTGATTTGTTTGTAAATAAACTACAAGATATAAATGTGAATCAAACAGATAAATTTCCAGAACTTTCACAACACAATCTTGTTTTTCAATACAGTTAGTACGGACGAGAGAAGAATTTGAGCGTGAAAAGTGGAGTATCTTAAAGCATGCACGAGATGAAGCAGAACATTCAGTGGAACTGTGTGCCCAGTTAGCCCTAAAAGATGCGCAGATTAGACAGTTTCAAGAAGAAGTGAGTTTGGTAGGTTATATAGAGATCTATAAAAACAGTAAAACAAACAACAACGTTATTACATTTAGCTCGCTTTGGTAGTGGTTATATCTTTTTTATTTGTTCCAAATATTTCCCAGTAGTTTGGCTTACTCGCAAGTCCATAAAATTCGGCATTAGAGCCTGACTTTGAAGTACAGTTTTACACTTGTGTATATTTTCATTTGTTGCCATGGCAATAAAGAAAATACAGTTTCACACTTGTGTATATTTTCGTTTGTTGCCATGGCAATAAAGAACATTCGAAGGAGAAAAAAATCGTTTAAATATAAATCATTTATAATTATAGATAACTTCAAAAATAGTTGGTTTTATATACAAACAAAACAACAACTGGGTGATTTTTATACAAATCTTACATTTAGTGTTATGAAACGTTCTTTAGGGAAAATATGGTAGAAAAAATAAAATAGTTTGTACCTACACCATTAACTTAATGTATTTTTTGCGATGTTAAACAAGTTTGTATGGTAGCTTTCGTATAGTTTTGTTGTTGTTGTTGTTTTTCTTTGCGTAATATAAATCTTTCACCAGCTCAGTCTACACATGTAGATGTTAAAAATTTACAAGTTTCAAATTTACTCCTGAAGATTCGAGATAGAGTGGGCTACTTTTCTGATGTCGAGAGCGCAAGAAATTTCCGAACCAATGGCTACCACAGTCCGAGCATGACGCCCACCGCCCACAGTAGCAACGCCCCCACACTTACTCCGGTGTCGGAACGGAAGTCATTGTCGTATGGTGGCACTCCAACAATAACAGTTGATGAGGACCAGAACTCAGTTTATTATTGTTAGTATTTGTTTAAATGAAACTAGGAATACTAATGATCATTTAGTACCATTATGTCGGATTGTCTTATTTGTAAGTTCCATTAAGCAGAATTGTGTGCTTGTTAGTACCATTAAGTTGACCACTATGCTACGTTAGTACCATTAAGCTAGCTTATGTTATTCGTTAGTTCCATTAAGCTGAATTGTGTGCTCGTTAGTACCCATTAACTTGTGTTATTCATTAGTACCATTAAGTTGACCACTGTGCTACGTTAGTACCATTAAGTTGACCACTGTGCTACGTTAGTACCATTAAGTTGACCACTGTGCTACGTTAGTACCATTAAGTTGACCACTGTGCTACGTTAGTACCATTAAGCACAGATAGCTCATTGTGTAGTTTTGCGCTTAGCGAGAAACAAATTACCAGAAGAAAGTCAATTTAATAACAAATTAAAAACATTGACATTATTTATATTTCAAAAACAAAACGAAAAAAACATTGCTCGTTTTTATAAAGTTAATGCAATCTACAAATGAATCTTCTCAAGTTAAACGCTGAAGTAATATATTAACTGTAGTAGTCATTATAAAGTAAAGAAAAGCATAATTGTAGGTTTTAGATATGGACCGATTATTTATAGTAAGTGTCTGTGACTTGTTGGCTATTTCAACAATTAACAAACAACACACAGTCTACTTGTTTTGAAATAATATATTAAATGAAGTCAAACGTATATACAAATGTTCGTTACACTGTTGGTTATTACAGTTGTATCCAAAGCTTTTAATAATTCTCTCTTTCGTCAAATTACACGTAGGCTGGTTCAGTTACTTTAGAACACAATTTGACAATACGATTTATTCTTCTCTACTCTGTTATTACAATATAATCTATGATAATTTCACTTTAAAATCACCATTATACGCTCTTTATGGCTAAACTTGCAATCACGGAGTCCAGATCGATCTATCTATCTATCTCGAACTACATTTTCGACGCATATTTATAGCCCAACAGAGGCCTAGAACGTTCCATACACTACAGGATATTATGATGCAATAAGACTCAATGAAAACCACGAGAAAAACTTGGAAGGTTCTAGTAACATGACGCAATGATATAACAATCGCCAATTCACAACAATTGAACTACACAACGTATGATTCGTAAACAGTTACGCAAACAAACCTGCGATAAACTATCGCTTCTAAAAATAACTAAACTTAAACAGTCGTGTATATCTAACAATTATGTTTTTCTTTGTAGGTTTTAATTACAAAATTATGTACTTACAAAACCAATACTTTGTGATACCGTTCAGTTGAAACTTAGGCCTATTTTACCCGTATAATTTGATACTAACTTTTATAAATATCTCGATGTACGACAAACAATTTTTCAGCTTGGGACAATGATTTCTCAAATAGTGTTTGTTCCCAACCTGTACAGCGGCAAGCTTGAGGGATTATAACGCCAAAATTCGGAGTTAGATCCTCTCAGCGGACAAGGTACAGATGGCCCATTCTACAGCTTTGCTTTAACACAAAGTAGCTTCAGTTATAGTTTCGTTAAATAGGTTTTACGTTTTTGGTTATTAGATAAGGATTGTTCCTTCAGAATGGAGAGAGTGTTGGTCTATTTACAATTAAAACCGTTTGTTAAAGTTGAAATCATTGGCTTTGTTTAACGGTATTTGAAATTAATAAATATTATATTTTTGAATCATAAAAAATCTTAAGCGGTAATAAAGCCGAAGACTATTTAAGTGGAAAGCTGTATCATAGAATATCAGCGCTGCCCACACTGCGGGGAAAGAACCCTGAATTTTAGAGTTGTAACCTCTCCAGCTTATCGCTAAGCCACGGAGGAAGGAAAAGAAGACTTAGAAAAATGTATCGAAACATTATCTTTTTCATACCAAGTTAGTTTTAGGAAGATTCTTTACTAAGGTACACATCAGCTTGGGCACCATCCATCGTTTTAATGGTCCGGCTGTATTTTGTTTCATTTCCTTTTCCAGCTACAACCTCTACTAGAGACGATAGACTTTTGCCCTTTCCTGGTTTATCTCGTTCAGCCGAGGAGATATACGTTCACAGCAGTGCCAACTCTGACGTCAGTAGCGGCAAGAAAAGCTGGAAAAGAAAAGAAAGGAAAGGGACTTGGAGTTCCATATCTCGTGTGTTTTCTAGAGGGCGCCACCGTAAAGGAGTAGATCAATGTGTTTTGGATGGTAAATCATTGGAGTTTCTCTGTATGTTTACAAGTTTAACTTTAAACGCAGCCAACGGATTTGTTAATATTTTGTGTATATGTGCGTCTATTTATGTAAAAAATATATAAAATCAATATAAAAGCTTCTTTTGGCAAACTGTTTGATAATTGTATAATTAAAAAAATAATCGCGGAATGTAAAAACAAATCAGTCATTTTGTTATAAGATGTAATGGAAGCTATAAGTTACATACCTTTTTTACATAACGACATTAAATGTTTTTGGTACACGTTTTAGTTTGATTTGGTGTGTTGTTCAAACAATGTAAATTAGAAATATCACCTAATATGCATATATGTATATTCGTCACTAGGTGGCAGCTCAGACCAAAGATCGTCTTGGTCACCCCAGGGCAGTTTATGTGCCAGCCCTTTATCAGAAGACAACTATAATGAGAAACTAAAGTTATTAGAAGAAGCACAAGGAAAGCCAATGGAAACATGGAAAGCTGCAACAGTTCTTTCTTGGATAGAAATAACTTTAGGAATGCCGCAATATGGTGGAAAGTGTGCTGAAAACATAAAAAGTGGGAAAGTAGGATAATTTAATTTCGATATTACCTCTCGTGAAGTCTTACTTCACTAGGGTAAAAAGTGCTCGTAAGATAAAATTATTTTAAATATGGAGCTTTCTTATCAGCCGCCCTGTATGCGTTTGAAAAGTGGGGGATTGAAACAACCATTGCAATACCTTAAGTTGTGTGAAAATAAACCGGTTCAGTGCTGCTGATCTTCCAAACAAACAAGACACTGCTTGGGACAGGCCTCGCACTGACCAGTTTAAAAAATAATAATTAAGCGCGGTAGTACTTAATAGTAGGAATCGCGATGAAACAAAATGGCGGCCATAAAAATCGCTCATTTAAAATAAAACCACCTCTAAAATATCTGAATATTAACAATGACTTCTTCACAGTATTGGCTGAGCAAAACTAATGCTTATTGTACTTATAAAGCCGCCTAAATCGCTATAAAAGCGATATATATATATATATATAT